TTGACAGCTTGAAGCTTTGTTATGTGTTGAGAGCTTGAAGCTTTGTTATGTGTTGAGAGCTTGATGCTTTGTTATGTGTTGACAGCTTGATGCTTTGTTATGTGTTGACAGCTTGAAGCTTTATGTGTTGACAGCTTGAAGCTTTGTTATGTGTTGAGTGCTTGAAGCTTTGTTATGTGTTGAGAGCTTGAAGCTTTGTTATGTGTTGAGAGTTTGAAGCTTTGTTATGTGTTGACAGCTTGAAGCTTTGTTATGTGTTGAGAGTTTGAAGCTTTGTTATATGTTGACAGCTTGAAGCTTTGTTATGTGTTGAGAGTTTGAAGCTTTGTTATATGTTGACAGCTTGAAGCTTTGTTATGTGTTGAGAGCTTGAAGCTTTGTTATGTGTTGAGAGCTTGAAGCTTTGTTATGTGTTGAGAGCTTGATGCTTTGTTATGTGTTGAGAGCTTGAAGCTTTGTTATGTGTTGAGAGCTTGAAGCTTTGTTATGTGTTGAGAGCTTGATGCTTTGTTATGTGTTGAGAGCTTGAAGCTTTGTTATGTGTTTGAGAGCTTGAAGCTTTGTTATGTGTTGAGAGCTTGATGCTTTGTTATGTGTTGAGAGCTTGAAACTTTGTTATGTGTTGAGAGCTTGAAGCTTTATGTGTTGACAGCTTGAAGCTTTATGTGTTGAGAGCTTGAAACTTTGTTATGTGTTGAGAGCTTGAAGCTTTGTTATGTGTTGAGAGTTGAGCTTTGTTATGTGTTGGAGCTTGAAGCTTTGTTATGTGTTGAGAGCTTGATGCTTTGTTATGTGTTGACAGCTTGATGCTTTGTTATGTGTTGAGAGCTTGAAGCTTTGTTATGTGTTGAGAGCTTGAAGCTTTGTTATGTGTTGAGAGCTTGAAGCTTTGTTATGTGTTGAGAGCTTGATGCTTTGTTATGTGTTGACAGCTTGATGCTTTGTTATGTGTTGACAGCTTGAAGCTTTATGTGTTGACAGCTTGAAGCTTTATGTCTTGAGAGCTTGAAGCTTTATGTGTTGACAGCTTGAAGCTTTATGTCTTGAGAGCTTGAAGCTTTTTGTGTTGAGAGCTTGAAGCTTTGTTATGTGTTGGCAGCTTGAAGCTTTATGTGTTGAGAGCTTGAAGCTTTGTTATGTGTTGACAGCTTGAAGCTTTGTTATGTGTTGACAGCTTGAAGCTTTATGTGTTGAGAGCTTGAAGCTTTGTTATGTGTTGAGAGCTTGATGCTTTGTTATGTGTTGAGAGCTTGAAGCTTTGTTATGTGTTGACAGCTTGAAGCTTTGTTATGTGTTGAGAGATTGAAGCTTTGTTATGTGTTGAGAGCTTGAAGCTTTGCTATGTGTTGACAGCTTGAAGCTTTGTTGTGTGTTGACAGCTTGAAGCTTTGTTATGTGTTGAGAGCTTGAAGCTTTGTTATGTGTTGAGAGCTTGAAGTTTTGTTATGTGTTGAGAGCTTGAAGCTTTGTTATGTGTTGACAGCTTGATGCTTTGTTATGTGTTGACAGCTTGAAGCTTTATGTGTTGAGAGCTTGAAGCTTTATATGTTGAGAGCTTGAAGCTTTATGTGTTGACAGCTTGAAGCTTTGTTATGTGTTGAGAGTTTGAAGCTTTGTTATGTGTTGAGAGCTTGAAGCTTTGTTGTGTGTTGAGAGTTTGAAGCTTTGTTATGTGTTGAGAGCTTGAAGCTTTGCTATATGTTGAGAGCTTGAAGCTTTGTTATGTGTTGACAGCTTGAAGCTTTGTTATGTGTTGACAGCTTGAAGCTTTGTTATGTGTTGAGAGCTTGAAGCTTTGTTATGTGTTGAGAGCTTGAAGCTTTGTTATGTGTTGAGAGTTTGAAGCTTTGTTATGTGTTGAGAGCTTGAAGCTTTGTTATATGTTGAGAGCTTGAAGCTTTGTTATGTGTTGAGAGCATGAAGCTTTGTTATGTGTTGAGAGTTTGAAGCTTTGTTATATGTTGACAGCTTGAAGCTTTGTTATGTGTTGAGAGTTTGAAGCTTTGTTATATGTTGACAGCTTGAAGCTTTGTTATGTGTTGAGAGCTTGAAGCTTTGTTATGTGTTGAGAGCTTGAAGCTTTGTTATGTGTTGAGAGCTTGAAGCTTTGTTATGTGTTGAGAGCTTGTACCTTTGTTATGTGTTGAGAGCTTGAAGCTTTGTTATGTGTTGAGAGCTTGAAGCTTTGTTATGTGTTGAGAGCTTGTACCTTTGTTATGTGTTGAGAGCTTGAAGCTTTGTTATGTGTTGAGAGCTTGTACCTTTGTTATGTGTTGAGAGCTTGAAGCTTTGTTATGTGTTGAGAGTTTGAAGCTTTATGTGTTGAGAGCTTGAAGCTTTGTTATGTGTTGAGAGTTTGAAGCTTTGTTACGTGTTGAGAGCTTGAAGCTTTGTTATGTGTTGAGAGCTTGAAGCTTTGTTATGTGTTGAGAGCTTGAAGCTTTGTTAAGTGTTGAGAATTTGAAGCTTTGTTATGTGTTGAGAGCTTGAAGCTTTGTTATGTGTTGAGAGCTTGAAGCTTTGTTATGTGTTGAGAGCTTGAAGCTTTGTTATGTGTTGAGAGCTTGAAGCTTTGTTAAGTGTTGAGAATTTGAAGCTTTGTTATGTGTTGAGAGCTTGTAAGATTTCGTTCGGATTTTTAACCACGGAGGGTTAGCCACCCAGGATAGACCATGAAAATCAGTGCGTGATGGAGGGACTGTCCTATATCCACGGTGGTCCTCAATCTTGTCCTCCAGGATGCGACCCACACCAGTCCAGGTACCTACTTGCTAGGTGAACAAGACATGTGTAAGGAAACGCATCGAATGTATTTACCCCACCAGGATTGTAGATGAATGGTTCAGAGAACCGACATGTTGATAAATTAGACACATGTGCAACTCTTGGGTATCTTTATTGAGGAAACGTTTCGCCACACAGTGGCTTCATCAGTCCATACGTAGGAGAAACTTGAAGAACAGGAGGAGAATGAGGTAATCAGTCCCTCAACCTTGAGTCGATGTGTTCAGTCCATCAATCTTGAGTAGAATACGGCATAAAAAAGCAAGCAAACAAGGTTTAGGTAAGATCCCAATGGGATGAGCGGGGAAGACGGGACAGATGAAGAATAGCTCTGGAGAGGAGTGTTCTTAGTCAGAGAAACAGAGCCAGGACTTAACCCAGCAGCTAAGGCGATCGTGGGGCAGACTTGAGAACAGGAATAGCAGGGACTGTTGCATTGAACTTGTGGTAGTTGAAGTCTTGAATCTTGAGTAGCTGGCAGCAGGCTAGGTCACATCAGAGGGTAGAACACATATGGGAGTTATAGGAGTAACTGAGGAGGCAGGTTAGCAATGGAGCCATTTTCGAACTTTTTGAAGCTGCTTCTAGATAGGTGGTATAGTTTAGCCTTGTTACTGAAGGTTAAACGTAGAGGCTTGATGAACTCAAGAACTTGGGTGAGTGTGAAGTGAAGCGGTGATTCACATGCATACTTGACTGTTCCAGCACCGAGGCTTTTGTAGAGTTCAGTACAGGTGATGGTGTCAGTATTTGAAGAAGTGTAGAAGGTAAGGTTTTCCCATGAGGGTTTACTGGAGTCGTCGTTGTCTTCCTCTACTGGAGTGGATTCATTGGGAGAATCTACAATGGTGGGAGCAGGTGACTGAGGGTCGACAGGAGCAGCTGGACAGGAATCGAACCCGGACCCTCAGTGTGTGAAACCAGAGCTTATTTATGATGTTTTTTATATTAGACCATCCCAGTTTTCTATGACACCATCCCAGTTTTCTATGACACCATCCCAGTTTTCTATGACACCATCCCAGTTTTCTATGACACCATCCCAGTTTTCTATGACACCATCCCAGTTTTCTAGGAAAAAATCCGTGCTGATTTTCCATAAACAATCATCTCTCAGTCTGCTTCAGTATTATTTTCCTGTAAACAATCATCTCTCAGTCTGTTTCAGTATTATTTTCCTGTAAACAATCATCTCTCAGTCTGCTTCAGTATTATTTTCCTGTAAACAATCATCTCTCAGTCTGCTTCAGTATTATTTTCCCGTAAACAATCATCTCTCAGTCTGCTTCAGTATTATTTTCCCGTAAACAATCATCTCTCAGTCTGCTTCAGTATTATTTTCCCGTAAACAATCATCTCTCAGTCTGCTTCAGTATTATTTTCCCATAAACAATCATCTCTCAGTCTGCTTCAGTATTATTTTCCTGTAAACAATCATCTCTCAGTCTGTTTCAGTATTATTTTCCTGTAAACAATCATCTCTCAGTCTGTTTCAGTATTATTTTCCTGTAAACAATCATCTCTCAGTCTGTTTCAGTATTATTTTCCTGTAAACAATCATCTCTCAGTCTGTTTCAGTATTATTTTCCCGTAAACAATCATCTCTCAGTCTGCTTCAGTATTATTTTCCCGTAAACAATCATCTCTCAGTCTGCTTCAGTATTATTTTCCTTACTATTTTCTCCATAAATGTTGTTAGTAGTTATGGAAGAGATACTAGGTAAAGTTTGTAAGTAAACAGAACACGTGTTTCCTGATGCGGGTCCTATGATGACCAGCACCTTCAGCTTTTGGCTATATGACCGAGTCCTTCGGCTGGCTTCCCGTTCCATGGTCATAATTCTAACCATTAGATAATTAACTAACTAGGAGAAGAGGTAAGAATCATGTAGTATACAGCTGTCTGGGGAATTGTTCCAGGAGACAGAGGTGACACAGGGTGATTCCTGTGTCACTGCTGTCCACAGTCGTGATACAGACAAAAAAAGACAGGAGCAGAGAGACACAGAAAGACAGTCTTGTAATTCAAAAAAGAAAAAATCGAAATACTCTTCCTAAATATGATTCCCTAAAACACAGTATTCATTACTGTAAACACACAAACAAAAAAACAACAAAATTGTGTTAAGTTTGACATCCTTAAGAAGCTGACCAAATGAATAGAAATAATTAAGTCAGAATCATGTGAACCAAACTGAAGACAACCAGTATTTCAGGTGATTTTCACACTGGAAGAAGACAAGCTGATCCAGACTCCAGTCACCAAGAATGACAAGGCTATGATGTCTGTACGACACTTTACTGATGAAGGCATGGTGCAGGTGAGTGGCTGTCAGATTGTTGTTGCTGACAGCATGGTGCAGGTGAGTGGCTGTCAGATTGTTGTTACTGACAGCATGGTGCAGGTGAGTGGCTGTCAGATTGTTGTTGCTGACAGCATGGTGCAGGTGAGTGGCTGTCAGATTGTTGTAGCTGACAGCATGGTGCAGGTGAGTGGCTGTCAGATTGTTGTTGCTGACAGCATGGTGCAGGTGAGTGGCTGTCAGATTGTTGTAGCTGACAGCATGGTGCAGGTGAGGAGCTGTCAGATTGTTGTTGCTGACAGCGTAGTGAAGGTGAGTGACTGTCGGACTGTTGTCTCTGACAGTATGGTGCAGGCAGGTGAGGAGCTGTCAGATTGTTTTTGCTGACAGCATGGTGAAGGTGAGTGACTGTCAGATTGTTGTTGGTGACAGCATGGTGAAGGCGAGTGACTGTCAGATTGTTGTTGCTGAGACCATGGTTCAGGTGAGTAGCTGTCAGACTGTTGTTGCTGACAGCATGGTGCAGGTGAGTAGCAGTCAAACTGTTGTTGCTGACAGCATGGTGAAGGTGAGGAGCTGTCAGATTGTTGTTGCTGACAGCATGGTGCAGGTGAGTAGCTGGCAAACTGTTGTTGCCGACAGCATGGTGCAGGTGAGGAGCTGTTAGACTGTTGCTGCTGACAGCATGGTGAAGGTGAGTTGCTGTCAGATTGTTGTTGCTGACAGCATGGTGCAGGTGAGTAGGTGTCAGACTACTGAGGCATTTGCTCTAGCACGAACAGCGGTAAACCACGCTTCCAGGTTGTCCGGATTCCCATTGAACAACGGCTTGGCATCATAAGGGTCACGACTAAAATTGCGAAGGCTCGAAGTCTGAATGTGTCTATCGTTTGATAAGGAATTACTCGAATTTTGGACTGACACATTATTGCTTTGACTAGCAGAATGTGCTGAGGCATCACTTGAGAAAACTTGAGACATGCTTGAAAAATGTAAAACAAGAGTTTAGAGAAATAAAGGAAAATATAACTGCGGAACACACAACACAGTAGACTTAAATGGGAAGTAATACTTAACTATTCTGTATAAGTAGGAAAAATTGACAAGCCAAACTGTAAGCAAGGAAAACTCACATGAAAATAAAAAAAATTACTCAAATGGATAAGCAACACTTTGATAATCAAGAGAAATTATACTTTACTCAAATCAAATTTACTCAAATTTACTTTAAAGTGAATTAATGGCACAGTGAGTTGTCTTTACTCTCAATTCAATAAAGATTCAACAAAAAAAATGATAAATCAAGCAAAAATGATAAAACAGAATCAATAAATCTTGTGAAAAATTAAAACAAACTGGGAAAGCAATTCACTAAAAAGAAAAGAAAATGAAACACAAAGAATAAAATATTATGCACAGAACAAGAAATGTAAAACTAAAATCACAGAATATTGCACTGAGATAAACTGTAACAATATTGCAAATAACAATTTCTAATCAAAAATTACTGCACAACACAACACTACATAAAAAATTCTGAAAGAAAAAAAATTAGTGGCAGCACAATATTTACACAAGAATTATTGCAAAATGAGTCAATATTGCAATAATAAAAACATTAAACACACAAGATGCAGTTTACAAAAACAATAAAAAAAATTATCAAGGAATGAACTGACTGAACAATTTAACTCTTAATTGCAGCTTAAGCAACACTTACTGAACAAACAAGAATAATTTACTTTAAAAAGAAGGCGAAAATTGCACTAAGAGTGAATTTGTTCAATGAAATAAGAAAAATAATAAAGGGCAAAAATGCAAAACAGAGAAAGGGTAACACTGACAATAATGCAAGAACAAAACACATCAATATATGCACAATACTATGAGAATTTTCTTGCAATGAAGCTTGGAGTGACAAATATTGGAAAATAATTGTCTTGCTTCAACAAAATAATGTCTGTGGAGATAAGACAAATTAGACACTGGCTAAATGAAAAGAATTAACACAAGAATGTTCAAAACACAGAGAGAGAAAAAAAATAGCAAATGAATATAAAAAAAAAAATCAGCAGGGACACAAATGCTGGGAGAAAAAAAAATAACTGAGACAACACTGAGTTGTGATGCAGAAAATGAGATAACAAGTTACTGAATTACTTCACTGTATAAATTACTAGACAAGGAACACAATAATGTGAACACAAGATAATTGTGAAGTGTAAACACAAGTTTATACTGCTTATATATTGCACACAACAGCGAAAAATATTGAAGTACTTACTTCAAGTATATAAAAAAAATGAACACAACACAATAGGCATAAATAAAGCACGAAAATTAACACTGAAGAAAGAGGAAAAAAAAAATATTGCAAACAGGATATAATGAACACTGATCAAGAGTCACTGAAAAGAAATGTCACTCAGGAATCACTGCAAAATTGTCTCAACACTTGCAAATGTCTCTATAAAAATATGATCACTGTAACGACGTTGGTGGAGAATGAGTAGTGTGGTGGTGAAGAAAGGTAGAAGTTGGAGTCTCGTGGCTGGCGGCGTTCGCTACTACCCTCAACACATTGACACCTCGATGAATTTGCGCTTAAATCGACGATGGACTCACACAGGAGGCTTTTACATAGGCGCACAGGGTCGAAGGAACACTCTTGTCTCTTGACCCCCTATGTGGTTCGTAAAATATGGTGCTACAACCCGTTATATGGGTACAAAAAAAACAGTGGTGGTGATGATGTGCTTGAGGCAGCTGCGCTGAGACACCGCGTGGTGACTGGGCCTATGGGATGAGCGGCGTGAGCCACTCTGGAGACACCCGCACTAGGCACGAAAATATTCTAAGCCAGGATGGCTTAAAAAAACCACAAAATACCACAACACCACAGGGATTGTAAAGCACTCAGAACAGCTAGAACTGGAATCACAAAGCAATGGAGAAGACAGTACCCACGTGGCTTGCTTGAGTACTGGGTTAAGTCACCTGGGTTAGTTGCTGACTGGCTTGGCTTAACCCTTCACACAGACTGGCTTGATAACTTGTAACAATGAGCACAGCAGGGGTGGAAAGCTGACTTAGCAAGCAAAGCTGGAATGGTGTAGAGCTGGGCTGGACTCCCCCCCCACAGACTGGCTTGGTGGCTTGGCTTAATTTGCAAACACGGGTCAACCCCTCGGAAGCAATGCAAATAAGCAAATAAAACTAATACACAGAGACTGACCAATAAGTAGGAAGCAATAGGCTGGTGAAAGCTTGCTCAGGGTAGCTGGCTTTGGGATGTTGAGCGTCACCCATCTCGGGAGGCCTAAATGTCACAAGATGGCGACCGGCTCAGTAGAAATTTATCTCTAGAAATAGCTGTAATCGTCAGAATTACAGGCCCTCTGCTGGCACAATTTGTCATGGGGGTTTGTAGGAGATATGAAGGTTGGAGATAAACACACTTGTTGGATGGTAACACATATATTGCAGAGTATGAAGAGGGAGGCCCAGCCTTCCTGTAGCTGCTTGGTAGGACTAACGGGAACTGAGAGGGATCCCAGGCGCGAAGGGCTCACAACAGCGTCACGTGACGTCACACAAACTAGTCACTGGGCCTACCAAAGGATCGTGTATGTAAAACATATGGATGGTACTATGTTACTCAGATAAGCTATATAACACATATAGGGCATCAGCAACTATGCTGACATAGCTGTCAGACTGTTGTTGATGACAGGATGGTGCAGGTGAGTAGCTGTCAGACTGTTGTTGTTGACAGCATGGTGCAGGTGAGTAGCTGTCAGACTGTTGTTGCTGACAGCATGGTGCAGGTGAGTAGCTGTCAGACTGTTGTTGCTGACAGCATGGTGCAGGTGAGTAGCTGTCAGACATATATTTTATAACTTTTCATGATCATGTTATGTAGTTATAATGATAGTGTTAGGAAGTTATGATAGCGTTATGTAGTTATAATGATACTGTTGAGTAGTCACAATGATAGCGTTATGTCATGGGAGACTCTCCTTGCCCCATGGGAGACTTTCCTTGTCTCATGGGAGACCCTTTATGCCTCATGATGTTGGGTTTACCTGGAGTTTACCTGGAGATGGTTTCGGGGGAAACGCCCCCCCGGCACGGTCTGAAACCAGACCTCATGGTGGATCAAGGTCTGATCAACCGGGTACTTCAAGGAGATAATGGAGTAAGAAATACACTCGTTGGACGGTTGGTAACTTATATTGATAGAGTCATGTGAGGGGAAGCCCAGACCAACCTGTCTCGCCTATGTCTACTTTGGAACTGAGAGGGAGGCCTGCGGGCCAGTGTTTACCTCCGCGACTGTGTAACATCACAGCTGCCCACTGAGCCAGTGTTTACCTCCGCGACTGTGTAACATCACAGCTGCCCACTGAGCCAGTGTTTACCTCCGCGACTGTGTAACATCACAGCTGCCCACTGAGCCAGTGTTGACCTCTGCGACTGTGTAACATCACAGCTGCCCACTGAGCCAGTGTTGACCTCTGCGACTGTGTAACATCACAGCTGCCCACTGAGCCTAACATATATATACTGTAGCTGGTTACTATCTATATATACTACACAAATAATATAGGTAATCAGTGACACTTCTGACAATGGGAGACTTTCTTTATCTCATGGGACACTCTCCTTGTCTCATAGGAGACTCTCCTTGTCTCATGGGAGACTCTCCTTGTCTCATGGGACACTCTCCTTGTCTCATGGGAGACTCTCCTTGTCTCATGGGAGACTCTCCTTGTCTCATGGGAGACTCTCCTTGTCTCATGGGAGACTTTCCTTGCCTCATGGGAGACTCTCCTTATCTCATGGGAGACTCTCCTTGTCTCATGGGAGACTCTCCTTGTCTCATGGGAGACTCTCCTTGTCTCATGGGAGACAGATATTATAATCTCCATTATTATGCTGTATTTTTATCTAGTTATTTTCACTTTTTATTGTTTGTTTCGTGTTTTAATTTGGTTCAGCATTTACCACATCGTTCG